ACAAAAAAAAGTTAAATATAATAAAAATGTTACTGATATTTAAAGATACACATTGTCCAGTGTAGCGTTAAGTCTTAGGTTTCAATCTGAATTGGATGTCATATTCAGCCAAAACTCAAAATTATATTCAATTTAATGTTATTCACCAACAAATTTATTTATTCGCAGCCAACTCCTAAATATTTACAAATTCCCAGCTTTCATTAAATTGTTATTTTGCATTGTTTTTCCTTATTTTTTCTAGATACATCAGCTTTACTGCAGCAACAAGAATGGCAAAGAAATGCAATCTTTATGCTATGCACTCGCAACTTAGTACAAGCATGTTGCCATCCTCATTTAACTCGCTTCATAGACAATGCAGTAACTTCCAATGTTCAGCAAACACGTCTATGCAAATTAGATTGCAATGGATCACACCCAACCATAGTATTGGAATCTCAGGATGTTTACGTTTGATTCAGACTCAGATTAGTATTGTCATAACAAAAAAAAGTAGTATGAACTTCCTTTCCCAAATTGCAAAGTAAACACACATATTGAAAGACAAATTGCACGAAAACAATTATATATAAAACTAGAAATAATTATAAAATAGACATAGATAATCAAAGCCGGGCACTCATTGTGTACGACCGTGTTGTCGGCCGATGCGATTCCATAAAGAGCGCAACGCAACGACGCACGCAACGGATCGTTTTTAATGACCGAGAGTTAGCAAACGGCGTCGCGTCGTCTATCGCTCACAGACAGCGGAGTTGGATTCGTCGTGTGACGGTCGTACAACGCAGTGTATGCCTGGCTTAACAGTGAAAGAAGAGTTAAATTAGAGAAGTATGAACATTTAGGACTAAGGTTTTATGTTTATCTTTTAACTATTGAAGAGGCGGATGGCTGTCGGCATAAATTAATTTCTGAAACTGTTTGTCCTGACTGGAGTGTGACGGATTCTACCTGAACTGCTTGTGATAATAGTATTATGAAGGGGATGAGTATTTGTCATGTATAATGTCCTTAAGTGTTCTAGTGATAAATTTATCACAAAATAATCAAATTGCTCGGCATCCATACCAAAAATCTTACAAGCTAACATAATAATCCCAGTGAGTTTTTCTAGACTTTCTTTGGATAATTCAATATACCAGACATTACAGCAGAATGATGTGGCAGACTAGATGACAGAAACATAGGACATATTAATATTAGGTTTTTTGTTTCAATGTGTACATTACCATGACGTTTTCCTCACTAATAATATTACTACCCGGGATCGGAATTTATTGTGACATCACTTGCATTATTGTAACAATTCAACTTTAATATAAATTCATAAAAATGCATTCCTTTACTGATCTAATACAAGATCAGGCTCTGCTGATTGGTAGTGGCTTAGGCTTATTAAACGTTGCCAAACATAATGCCTCTCTGATAGAATTTTTGCAATATAAGGAAGATATTAATCGGAGCTTATTTTAAAACTTTTCCATGCAGATATTTAAGCAGGAAAGTACATAGTAAAGGTAGTGTTTTAAAGCGCTTTTATTTGATTAGCTTCTCGGTAATAGGAATTTAAAACAATGTAATGAAGTTAAAAATACCCAGAAAATTAGGTACAGTGGCAAATGCAAGGATGAATGCAAGTCCTATCTAGGCATATTCTTTTTATTATGCATCAACACAAGCTAGACTAGAGCAGTCACTCTATGGAGTGCATGCTTCCGCCCTGTACCTGAATACCAACATTACTCAGGCCGTGTATGATGGGTGAAACTGCAGCATACCCTCAATGAAATAATGGAATCACCGGTCGTATTCATGCACATTATTTTCTTTTCTACATTTTGTTGTTAACTGGACGCACAAGTTTGTGTATGAGTTGGTAACTGCAGTCCTACCTGCTAGATTGGTGGAAAGGCACAACACCTTTACATAATGTCCTTGAGGCCAAAAGCATAGACAGTAGTTCTACCGCTCGTAACAAAAAATTATTGGTGGAATTAGTTAACTACATATCAAGAAGGTATGTACTGTGCTTCCCAAAGAGAAGACAGTTTTAAGATGAACAAATTTGGATCTTATATACCTATAGAGTACTACAGTGTTATGTCACGATACCACGCGATACTACTCCGTTGCTATCGTTGCAAAAAGCGTTCAACCGGACGCCATTTTCTTCACCAACAAAACATTGATCCCAATTTCGAGCGTAATTATTAAGATGTTGTATCTTACTTTTTCTTTGTAAATTTTTTATTGCTGATTAAATGTGTGTTCGATAACTAATATAATGCAAGCTTTTGTTTTTTTAGTACCTTTGATGGTAAAATATTAGATTTTAAAATGCCTATTCCAGAAAGCCTATGAAGTCATTCAGGCGTAATCAACGGTAACTAACGTCCGTGGTACTCTATAGTAAATTCCTTCTGGTAATACAGTACTAGATTCCATGGGCATTTTGAAAATACTCCACAACCAACAGACTGAATCATTTATAGGTCAAATTTGCTTTCTACGATGATGGCGTTGAAGTGACAACACTAATATAAAATAGCGCTGAGAGTATTAAGATAAACTGGTTGCCATGAGTTTACATAATATTAACAAAGATATTTCATAAATATCCAGGCCATCTATCTGTACATTAGTTGCTGGCCAATCCCCATTGCACATTGCCAACAAAAGTACATCGGGCCAAATGTACAGCGGGCCAAATGTACAGCGGGCCAAATGGCCGAGCGGTTAAAGCAGGGGAATCGTGATCATAGCCAACAATATCGGCACGGGTTCGCGGCCGGCTCGCTCCTATATATAGTTCTGGTGGTGGAACAAGTCTTCTCGGATAAGGACTATAAACCGTAGGCCCAGTGTACACAAATGCTCATGTGCACTTTAAAGAACCCAGTACATCTTTCGAGATGGGTAGGGGGTTACCACGGTGTACTGGTTCATTCGGCCCCTGTCGTGGACAGATGAAAGTGCGCCGGTTTACTGGCTGCTGAAGACATGAAGTGACCCTTAGGGGAGGGGAAAGTTATTGTAAAGTGCAACATCTAGTCCCGAGCGCATAGACACCATGTATTATGCGCTATATAAGTCTCCAACCATTACCATTACCATTACATCATAAAATCAATCAAAATCAATATTTCATTAAAATTCAGTCTGGCTGTAGACAAACAGATAAACAAATATACTAAATTTCATTAAAAGAAAGTACAAGAAAAACAAGCCTCTCTGTCCATAAAATAGCAGTCAATGTTCATCTGGTATTTTTATATACCATACAAGTAGATATACTTTATACTTCTTTAAAAATGATTTGCATATGCTTATACACGTCCTGTGTACTTGAAATACTTTTTGTAGTCCGAGTAAAAACCTTTGTAAATTTCCTTGAGGCCATCAGGCAGAGTGGCCCCCAGCAAAGATAATGATTTATCATCGCAGATAGAAACTATGCTGTTTAAACCATTTCCCAATGATTTCTAAAAGAAAAAAAACAAGTTTAAAATATTACAATTATCTCTCTCTCCTACCAATACCATTCAACTTGTGAGAATGGTGTAACAAAATGTATTGGTGACAATTACTTTCCTTCAATGGCTGCCCAACTTCGGAACGGTCTGCCGAATTAGGTCAGGCAATTCAAAGCCCCAAAATACACTTATTTAAAGTTTCCTATCACCTTGCTTTAAACGTTAAAGGATCATCTTATTTCCTTATTGGCAATGTTTTTTGTTTTATTTAACTATTAAACACAATTGCTTGGAGTTTAACTTATTATATTCAGTTATGAAATCTTTGTTTACGTATGGTCTGTGTACAAACTCTGCTTGAAGGAATTTTCCAACTTTTTAGAGAGTGGTAACAGCACTTTGTAACTGCAAGGAAAGGCACAATATAAGCAACAATTATCAAGTATCAAGTGCTTGAGAGAGCGGCTAATCTGGTGGTAGCCACTGTGTGTGCGCTGAATCGTGGAGATCACTAGGTCCCCGGTTCATTCCCATTGCTGCCTCTCCTTGTGTTTCAGCTGAAGTTACAATAGCGCATCGTCTTTCGTTTGTTCTGTGTGCATTATGTCCCATGTGCATATTAAACAATGCAGTACACTCTTCAGAAAAGAGTAGGGGATTGTCTCCCAGTGTACTGCCTAATCATCACCAGAAGGACCCCACTGAAAATAAGTTTTCTTCTGGAGTTTTGTGGGCTATCCTTGGTGTTATCCTTGTATCCACAGAATAAATCCAATCAAATCCAATCCAAGATTTGGACTGATAATACTGTACCATAAACTATAAATAATCATATTATTCTATATCATTACCTTAACAGCTGGATGGAGTGTTCCTTTCTGCAACTGACGGACATATTCTGCTACCAGAACAACTATCACTTTCTGCACATCCTCTTTATGTGAGGCCAAAAGTGTCAATAATCTAAAGATATCATATAATAATAAACACAGTATTATCAATATTTTGTATAATGCGATTAGAATTAGGCCAGTAAAAAATATGTAAATAATATCTCACCAGTAGCATTTGATTCGCTATTTCAGACCTTCTTCAGTTGAATGACATTAACATATTAGTTAATGCCTACGTCATTGACAGTTTAATTGTAACAGATATTATTGACGCTAAGTGAATAAATATATGTGATTAATGATATTCTTGAAATGGAAATCAGAAGGTAATATTAATAATAAAGAAAATAAAGTACAAACCTATCCATATCCTCTGCACATTTAAGCAGAAGCTTCTCTTGTACTTTTTCTTGGGAACCTCCAATTGCTTCTCTTCCACGAAACATAACAGAATTCAAAAGATGTGAGAAAGTCAAGGTCCAAGTTATTGTTCTCTCAACCTATCAGAAAAGGGATAATTACCCAGAAATCCTTGTGGCATAATACTTAACTAGTATAGCTAGTTTGAGCTATCAATTTAATTTGGAGGCACTAACTAACCTCCAAGTGTGGAGCAAAGTCTAAAAGCCATGAATATCCATTTTTCCAGTTGGACTCACTATATTTTCCAAGAAAATCCAGTAGTCACTTATTTGGGAAATAAAGTTAAGATGCTCTTTATGTCATGGCACAGGGGTAACAACTAAATCAAAAGGGTTCGCAGCCAATATGTGAACTAATAGTGTTATGCAGTAAAGGATATATTTGACACCTTCTAAAAAACTTGGAAGAGAAGAAGTGACTGATTTTGGATACTGCAGCAGGAGGGTGTCCAGTAGATGGAAGAGCACTGTGAAACACTTTGAGAAATGCACAGCAGGAAGGTCCATCAGAGGAACAAAATGAACGATGTGTAATGTTGTCATGGCAACCTTGGCTGGAAGCAAATCCTGCAAAGTAGAAAAAAACATCTCCAACTTTTTAAGAGCATTAAAAAAGCCTGTACCAAGGTATGGTAAGTTATATTATTATCAAAGATCTTATAATTACAAACTAGCGCTCTCCGCGATTTCTGCATGCACATTCTGTAATATCGCAGTGTAGAGTGGCCTCTTGCAAAATTGATTACTTTTCAATTTTGACATCAGAGATCATTAACTACAGAAAGCGCATCTGCATGCGATTTGTACAATAATCATGGTAACAACTAGGACACCCTCTTTCAAAAGTGATTACTTTCCATCCTGTTATGCTTCTTTATACTGAGCATCGACGCTTCTACTTGTTACGCATAGAATCGCACTATGTTGTAGTTATAAGATCTTTGATTATATTTTAAGATATAGAATGGTATATGGGTATGAATGAAATCATATGGTATATGATTTGGTATTATATTGTATGGTTATATGGCTCAGTATATGACATATATGATATGGTATAAAATTGCACATATATAATATACAGAAAGATGAAATAGATAGGTTTCATGAGCTGCATAAAATATATAAAATAGATTATTAAGAAACTTACATTTCCGGGTATCAGCAAGGAAACCACAGCATCGACAGCACTACATACAGTGTCTACATTTTCTGATGTAACTGGATGGAGTGAATGCAGAAAATCCATCAGAGATAGTAAAACCTAAATGATATGTAAAATATAAAATAAAATGTTATAAAAAATAAATGAAATGAATTTCCATTTTTTGGACAATAAAATAAATTGAATTAAGTCACATACAAAATGTTTTTTCAATGATTTACAGGTGTTTAATTACTTGTTCAAGTTATTTCTAGAATCAATAATTAATATTTTAGCTTTCATTAGATATACAAAATGACAGCAGTATAAGTTTGCTTTCGCTACTTGTTTTGAGTGCTGAGATCAAAATATCTAAAAAAAATAACTACAGCTCACTTTGAAAAGGTCACAGCCAAAGGGCATGTGGTCTATATAGTATAGCTTTAAAAGAGCCAAAGGGTGGGTTTCTACTTAAAATTGGATGACCAATATAAACAAAGCGTCCTTAATACTCTAGTCTACATAACATACATGAAGTGAAAATGATCCAGAATGCATTTAAAATAACGGAAATGACCTTTGTAATAACTGTTTTAACATAGCTTCCTTTGCTACAACTCCTTATAAAAAGTAGTATAATACCTGAGGTGTAGATTGTTTTAGCACTTGCCAGCTTTCTTCCTGAAGATTAGTTAATGGAATAATCTTCAGGGCCATCAAAAGACCTTTTATTTCATTGCAACTCTGTGTTGTCTGAAAAAAATTAGGTTAAATATCATATTTACTCCTTCACTTATCATATAAATTTTTTTGTTTCACAAGTAAATATGGCACAGTATACATATGCAGTACACATGTGTGACTTACCAGAGCTGTCTCGATGTCAGCAAGCAAAGTGGAGAGCTTAGCAGAATCTAAACACTTTAGTATCATCTGTCCACACAGCCTAGCCTCTTCAACATATTCTGCAATAATACAAAGTAAATTCTCTAATGATAATTCTTAATTTTGATAAAAACACAACATTTTGTAAATTCAAATTATAGTGTATATATTTCAAATTTAGGTCAGTTACACAAGGAACAAGAAAAAACGGAAAATAGTATCACCTACAAAATGGAACACAATCTTTCAAATACTACATCTACAGAAAGAGTTTTTAATACAAATATAAGCCAAATTTCACTGAATAGTGATTCTTAGCAATCATTTCAATTACCATACTTTAAGCATTCAACAAACTTCAGCCACATCTTCTCCAGTTCATGACTGGAGACAACAGCACTGGCATCTGCAACAAAGCATACACTCCGGAAGAATTCCATGATCCTCTTGACAATGGCAGTTGTAGTCGGGATCTTGGCCTCCAGGATATTCTGCAGCAATGGCAGTAACTGAGAGCTCCACTTGTCTTGGAACATCGGAAATTCTGCTTCCTCAGAGATATTAATCACATCTGCATAATATCTAAGTAGAACTGAAGCCATCTCAAGAAGGTTGCAAAAAAGTAGGTTTTCAGACATGAGCTCCTTGGAAAGTTCTGAAGTTTCTCCAGATACTGAATCTTTCTTCAATACTGGACAACTAAATTTGTTTTTGTACCAATCATTAAGAACATCCTCGCTTTGAAGGTATTCAATGAAATGCAAGGCACTGTCTGCCAAAACATCAAGTTCCTTTAAAACCTCCTTTTGATCATTGTTCTTCCGTCTGGCAAATGATGTTGCTTGTTTGACAAACACAGAAAGAAGAGCAAGCAATGATGTTACTGAATTCTGCTGGTCAATCACGTTTTTCTGGTTTTCTGCTGTTTTGCATATCTTTCTCAACTCTCCCAACAACTAAATATGATAAAAGAAATAGACAATAGAAACTCCACATCAGTTATATAAAACAACTGTTATGAAAAGCTGTTAAGTGCATGTGGCTTGTCTTCAGCATTAACAATGTAATTGTCTGCTGAATTTTTTTTGGCATATAAACAGTATATCTTATCTTATTTTTAAAAACATTAAAAAAAAAAAACATTAATAAGAAAGGATTATCAAAACATACCAAACATGATCTCAGTTAATTTCTACTTACCCATTGTGACATCTCTGGTACAACAGTATCATTATCTGATTTGTATGCTGCAGATAGCAGGGCTGACATAATGTCATGGGTTACTGATCTTAGCTGAAGTTCATCTTCCTGACAACCTGATAGCTGAAATCATAACAGTAAAAAATCCAACTATTAATTAGCCCCTAATTAATTTCTTTATATTATCAATTACTTTTCAGTGAAGAGTGGCTGGCAAAACAGTGGATTGGGCAAGGCACTTTGACCCCACCCCCCTTAGCACTAATGTACATAAGCATGTGATTTTGTGGGACAACACGTGTTTGAAGTCTCAAGATGCACATATTCCTTGGTTCTGTTCCGATTGGACAGTTATTAAGTTCAATCCAGGAAAGCTCCATTGTATCTATCTCTCCTTTCTCCACTCAGGAACAGGAACATTGTACAATCCTGGATTGATTCTAGCTGCAATAATAAGAATGGTCTTCCCCTAGGAGTTGTGAATGAGCAGTCACAAAGCTAAGTGTATTCCATTTAATTTCAGCTAAATAAAGAAATATTTCCAATTATGTAACAAGACTGCAACAGAAATTTCAGGACTTAGTATACATTAACTCAATTTTTCAGTAAAGTAAAAATATATTATGTAGCTAAAGATTATTTTAACATTTGTCTCTATCATTACCATTTTCTGGCTCATTAGTGAAGAAGAAAGTGACTTCAATAGCCCACAACCAGTTGGAAGTTCAAGAAATGATCCACGAAGATCAACTTGGCACAGTGTCTTTAGAGAGGTTCGCACAAGCAGCAGACAACCTGGAACTCCTTGCAGCACTGAGTCTGAGGTTTGTGACATCACATGGTTCAGGAAGCAGAGGACCAAAAGACATCTTACGTGGTTGCCAGGCATCAGGTGTTCAAGTGGTACGAATCTTAAGATCTAAAAGGAAAGAAAAAGAACAGAATCTCTATTTAAGACTAAATAACTGTTTTATTCATATTTCATTAGGTTTTTAGTCCTTTGAATACAATAGATGAATCAAAGTAATTGTCACATTATATTGCATTAGGACAACATACAGTGTGAAATGGCCCAATGACGCTGTGAGAACTAAATGGTAATGAAAGGTTAATGTGATTGCTTAAATTCATATTTTTTATGCTATTTTTATTCTCTGTGAATTTTGCTTTGGAATTCAAATAAACCTTCATCAACTTTCAGCAAACCTAACAATCGCAATGTGTCTGACTCGCAGTAAGCAGATCGACAATCATTTTGCTTAATCAAGCCACAAAAATGAGGAATGTAGGCCCAGTATTTCTTGAAAAATCTCATTCTCATTCTGACAGAAATCTCAAGTTATTGCTACTTTGAATAAGACAGAAGATAATTAATTCACACGAATTTATTCACCTGTAAAGCATTCAAAACCGTGTCAATTTCTTTCTGTTTCCAACTAAAACTCTTTCCGCCTCCATGTTCATACGAACATATCACCTTCGTTACTAACTGCACATTCTGCCACATTTCATGATCATTCTCTTCTTTTCTTTAAAAAAAAAAAAACAAATTAAAACCATAATTAATTATTTTGAATGGGATACACAGTAATGTGAACAAAATAATGGTTCGGTTATCATATTCACATCAAGTTTAAAAGTGTTACAGAATATGACAAATAAGTTTTTCCAATATATGGATGTAATCTGACATCACACATAATGGGTGTGATCATTTATGCTAATAAATGGATAGTATGGGAAGGGGTTAAAAATTTCCTGATTAGCTATGTTATCATTTTAGGTTCACGATGCAAATGAAATTATATTATGCTAATAAATAAAGCTAGATTGTTTAAATACTTGTTCCTTTAACCTCTTTGATTTGTACATAACACCTTTAATATAATTGGTTAAATCTCTGTAATTTGATTGGTTATTCTCAACAAAATTGGTACCTTGTAAACTGTATAGGAAGTCAGATTGTGTACATAATGTATTCCTAAAGATGAACTAATGAATTTTAAAATAAAGTATTGAATCACAATGACTTGTACCACAGAATGTTGTTTCATACTATCTTATGATAATAAATATGATTTATGTACATGTTGTTGAATATGGTACATATTTTTACCTGAGCATATTTTCAGCTACTTGATTCCACATTTTATCATATGCTATTTCAAAAACTGGTTTCAATTTCTGTCCTTTCTTGGGAAACTGTTTTAATGACCTAGATAATTGATAAAAAATGCAATTCAAGATGTTATGCTCATTCCTTTCAAGATACAGAATTTTATCGCAGACAAAATTCACTCTTTAAGACTTAGTTCATAGAGTAAATGTGTATATGTCTGCCTTATAATTGTGACTTATAATAATAATAATAATAATAATAATAATAACAATAACAATAACAATAATAATAATAATAATAATAATAATAATAATAATAATTATTATTATTATTATTATTATAAGGCAAATGAAATTATATTATGCTAATAAATAAAGATAGATTGTTTAATACTTGTTCCTTTAACCTCTTTGATTTTTACATAACACCTTTAATATAATTGGTTAAATCTCTGCAATTTGATTGGTTATTCTCAACAAAATTGGTACCTTGCAAACTGTATAGGAAGTCAGATTGTGTACATAATGTATACCTGAAGATGAACTAATGAAGTTTAAAATAAAGTATTAAATCACAATGACTTGTACCACAGAATTTTGTTTCATACTATCTCATGATAATAAATATGATTTATGTACATGTTGTTGAATATGGTACATATTTTTACCTGAGCATATTTTCAGCTACTTGATTCCACATTTTATCATATGCTATTTCAAAAACTGGTTTCAATTTCTGTCCTTTCTTGGGAAACTGTTTTAATGACCTAGATAATTGATAAAAAATGCAATTCAAGATGTTATGCTCATTCATTTCAAGATACAGAATTTTATCGCAGACAAAATTCACTCCTTAAGACTTAGTTCATAGAGTAAATGTGTATATGTCTGCCTTATAATTGTGACTTATAATAATAATAATAATAATAATAATAATAACAATAACAATAACAATAATAATAATAATAATAATAATAATAATAATAATAATTATTATTATTATTATTATTATGTGTATGCCTGCCTTGTGAATAGAATTGTCACTTATAATAATAATAATAATAATAATGTGTAAGTCTGCCTTGTGAATAGAATTGTCACTTACAATAATAATAATAATGGTAGACTTAGTATAGTGCATATTGTTGCACTTCATATTTATCAATACCCCAGTCATTGGATTCAATGCCTATGGAACATAAACTTAAGCTCCCTAGGGGAGTATTTTATAACACTGCAGCAGCTACATCAGCGCATTTTGGCATTTAACCCTACCAGGTACCCATTTATACTCCTGGGTGGAGAGAACCAAAGCAGACAAAGTGCCTTGCCCAAAGACACAGTGAAATGCACAGCGAGGGATTGAAACTCTGACCTCGTGTAAGAGAAACCAAACTGTTCCTGCTGCGCTGAACCGCTTTCACTTAGAATGTGATTAGCTGAGTTGAATGAAACAATCAATCTTTCGATTTTAAAATATTCTTTCCATTGCACAAATACAAAACATTCATTATTCATCTAAAACAGATCTTTGTCATTTGATATTTAGGCCTACCTTTCTTCCAGTCAGTACAAGTTTTAACACAAACAACTTAAAATAATTTGGTAATTAACTACCTTTCGTCAGAATGGAACAGTCAATCTTCTTTCAACCAATGAAAGCAGGTGGAGGTGTGCAATGGGACAAAACGAACGGAACAAAAATTGCATGGATGCAACAAAAATTTTCATTATAGATGAAATTGTGTAAATAACTAATGTCAGGAGATATGAAATCCACCAATCAAATGACAATGCATCTATTTAGGTGTGTTATAATGATGTCCAAAAACTCATTGTGAGGCTTTACAATTATTAAACACACCACTCTATAATATCATTCATAATCGTCAATATTATTTTAGTCCTTACTGTTGGATTGCACTGAGAGTTTCGTCTAGTAAAACTGACATCAATATAGTCTGAAATTGTCTAGACTCCAAGCAGACTGGGCTTCTAAGAAACTGTATAACAATATCAGCTGCTCTGTTATTTTTTGTCACATCTTGAGTATTCACAGTCTGGATAAATATGCTTGCTGTTGATATTAGCTGACTGTCAGTAAGGAATGGAAGCATGATAGGTAATCTACCGGTCAACATTTCCAAATAATACAGAACAAAGGATTCACTGTCCAATTGTTCAATCTGTTGAAATATTTTGGTAAAAAGGTATTATAAAGCAGCTGCTGTACACTAAAAATTCTGTTTTTATATTGCGCACATATCTAAGTATCATGCTGAAATTGATGTTATTTATTTATACAGCATATAATTAAATATTTATTTAGTTGAAGGATTTTATATAGCACATAATATCACAACCTGATGTTTAACATCTCAGAAGAAAATAGGC